CAGTTTTTACAAACCTTGTGATTCTTTAGCATAACAAAAAAATAAAAAATACCAAAGAAAATTATAATCAGAACAAGCAATCTAAAAGATAACGAGAGCCGTACAAAACCTCCCCTGCAGGGGGAAATAGGAATATTTCTTTAATTAGTAATTCCATATGAAATTAGAAAGTCCACTGGAAAATGGACTGGCTAATCTTGTGAGCACATAGTGGCTCACATTTTAGGAAAGAGAGGACTTCTGAGAGTTCTCCGTGAGGCGGTATTTAAGTCAGGCAACTGGCGAGCAGAGCATCTATCATTAAAACAAAGTGCAGTCTGGAATCAAATATGTTCTTCTCCACTGGCACTCAGCTCCACTCTTCACTCTGCCCTTTCCTCACAGTCCAAATCTCATACAGAACAGCTCAACATTTATCACCACTGAGGACATAAGTTACTCTTTTAAAGCATCCTTCATTTAGATTCCATAGGGTTGTGTGTGCAGAGAACAAGCCTGTCCATCCCCCAACTAGGTTGATATAGCTTCCTCTGACTTGAGGGTAAGCTGAGCTGCAGTAAATTGGATTTCATGCTCAGTCCTTCGTGGTTGCAGCATGCGACATTAAGACAGACCCATCTTCCACTGCGAAAGGTTAGGAGGCTGAAACACAGCTGCATTGCATTTACACCTCATAGGAGGGATGGGTTGGTGCAACAAATACTTCAGAACACTTAGTTTGCATTGCAGGGGTTATAAATACCAGCATGGTGTCAAAATGTGACAATGAGTTTGGATCAGCTTTACTCCAGCAAAAGTAGAATCAAAACTCAGAAATCAAAAACAGACAAATAAGGCTTTCTGCCACCAAAATGTGCATTCAACTCTCTTTGCACAGGTTCAGTTTCTTTTTTACGCAAACATTTTGAGGAAGAAAAAATAGTTTTCATGTGGTGGGTTTCTGGTTAACAAATCCACTTCCACCCTACTGCAGTGACAGTAAGCGGGTTATTCTGTAAATGTGGGTGCAGGGTGGGGGAGGCTAATCCACAACAGACTCTCATTTTAGAGTCATTTTTGCACAGCGGGCCATTTACATGCAGATGTGTCACTGTTGGCATCGTCAAACTGTTAGGCCTGGAACCAAAGATGGCTTGCATGTTTTTCACTCTTTTTATTTTCTTGGCAACCCCTCTGCAGTGTTTCTAACTTAAACCACTTTTTATTTGGTCGACAGCATGTGACGAAGTCTTCTGTTGGTATCAAATTTGAAGCCGTCACAGAGCTCAGAACCTCCCCTAATTCAGACACGAATACAGAGAGGCGGTGTGAACATCTCTGGCATGAACAATACCTCTATGATCATTAAAGCTAAATTGGCTAAATTAATTGCCAGTTCAGGAGGCTTTAGTTGCATCTTATTGGATTATTCATGTCTCTGTGTGTCTGCAGTGTGGTTTGGGAAATCTAGAATTCTGTTTTTCTTTATTTTTCTCTTCAAGTCTGACCAAACAGCCTTTAATCACAACTAATGTAAAAAATAAATAAATACATAAATTCAATAAGCTATTACCCAGGCATTGATCTTTTTTTATCACCCAAACATTTGCATTAGAAAAAGGAAAGTCAGTAAGATGGCTCTCATTTTACTGAGGTGAAGGAGCTGTAGATACTGGTGCCTGGATTTATTGAGTTTGGCAGCTCTTTAACACTTTAACGCTCCTCAGAATGTGTCCAATCAATGCTCCCACCCCCTCCTGACGTGTTTGCTGCTGAAGAGTCACGCCGTTCGCTTATCTGATGTCATTGTAAATCACTCAGAAGGAGGGTAGGTCAGGGGGGATAACGCTGCCACGCTTGCACACACACCAAACTAAGCGAGTCTGGTATGGTGCATAACATAGCACTGTAAAGAACGTCCCTCCAGTGTGTCTGCATCTTAAATAGAGATTTATAATAGAAGATGGGCTGTGACCTTTCACTTGTAATGTAGCGTAAAATGAGCTTCAGATTTACCAGAAGCGTGTCAGGAATAAGCTTCATTAACCATAAAGGAAACAGTGATGATGCCAGTATTAATCCTCACAGCTGAGACATTATTGCATAGCTGTCTGATTATAGGTTTAGATTAAACTAATATATTTAGTTTAATTGTTTAATTAAACTGCCTGGTTTAATTGTTCTTTTAAATACTTAATAATTAAGCTTCTAAATAAAGCAAACATTTGGTATTCTAGTTCTCATTAGTAAGACAGCTATAAGATTTTAGATAAAAGGAGGTGATGTGTTTGATTATTGCAAAATAAAATTCAATAGCTAGATATTTAGACAATATGTCGTTTCCTACCAAGTCCAGATGTTTAAAGGAAATTAAAAAATAGAATATTGATAAGGACTTCAATATTTTTATGGTCCTTTTAGAAAGGGCAACTCATATAGATGCATTTTACATGGGATCTGATCTTCAAAGATTCCAAATAAAGGACACTAATATTGCATGTGTAATTTTGCTTACAATGTGCAATAAGTGGGGATGTTATACGTAATCTACAAAGATTGCTGTGCAAATCTTAACAAGTGAAAACCTGTTTGGTTCCAACTTGTTTAAATAAGCAGGTTGTGTGTTTTGTAGTCAAGGTATATTATATATGTGGAGTTAAACCTTTATTGAGCCCAGTTCCACTGTACTTCAAAACCATATCGTTACATTTAGGTTCTGCTGAAAAGATTCTGTATCAAAATTTATTTCTTACGTTCCTCATTCAGTAGCAGTTATGTCCCAAGATAGCTTGGATGCTTCAAATCAAAGTGTTGCTTTAAATTTGAAGTGGACGTGGCTGACTTACGGACTTGTTAGTTAAGTCTCAATGGGCACAGTTTGCACAAAAATATGAGTTTTTCTCTGTCTCGGTCTTCCTTTGTTAGTTTATAAAACTCTGCTAATTACTCTGCAAACCTGGCCTTAGAAAGACCAGTAGATGAGTCTGAAACACCCAGATTAGTACTAGCAGTAAACATGTTGGTCTGTCATGCTCTTTGCCATAATAAGTTCCATAAAACCTGATGTTAGCCAATGACAAGTGCCCTTATTAATTGAACTCGAATGTGAGCCGCGTGTGCCACTCATAGGGTGAACGTTGCTCTTGTTCCTGTTCATTACTTCAAAACTGGTCTGTTCAGTTCACCTTTCAGTAAAAATATAAACGTATTCAGTGAACACCGTTTATTGAACCCAATTTGTTTATATCGATTTGTTTAAATCTACAAAAGGACAAAACTATTCTGACTGGCTTGCTGATGATGACTGATCTGTATTGTTGTAATATTTGACATTTTAAAAGATGTTGTTCCTACACTAGAGAACAGATGGTAAAGGACAGAAAGGTTAAACATTATAATAAATGTGCATCATGATGAAACAAACGATAAATCCGCCACACTTTACAGAAGAAAAGCTATAAAGCAAAGTCTACCTTCATATGCCTGAATAATGAAAACATGATTGAAATGGTCAGACAATATCCAATATCGAATCACCTACTTGCCTTTATGGCTCTGCAAATCTGGGCAGATTTGTGAAAGACACAGTTTTATTTTTGTAATTATTGTTATTATGTTTATTAAGGCCTGTTTTGTGCAACATTAGTTATTTTAGCACATCAAAACGTGTGTTTTTGAACAATCTGGGACCATGTGGAGAAAATGCTGTTCTGTTTCCTCTTAACACAAAAGCTAATGTTTCAGAGAGTTTTTTTCCCCTAACATTCTGGTATGGTAAGCTTTACTCTACAGTCTGGACAGTGTAGCATTGTACAGTAATGTTGCCAAAAAGGACATTAGAGCATTTCCTTGGTTTGAAGCATAAGTTCTCTCTGGGCCAGGCATGTCCAAAGTCCGTCCTCTAGGGCAGCTGCCCTACAGGTTACTACAAAGATGAAAATCAGCAAAGCTGATTTTGACAATTCAATTGCAGTTCGGCAAAAGCCTGTTAATAAGCTAACAATGGAAATCAGCTGTGCTGAAGCAGGGAAACAGTAAAAACTTGTAGGAGAGAAGCCCTCGAGGGCCAACTTTGGACATGCCAGCTCTAGGTAATCTGACCCTCTCACAACACAACATGCATGTTGGGTAGCCAATACAAAGTTTATGTGGTTGAAACAGACACAATCATTGATCAATGATTTAGGCATTTAGTTAGATTAGATTAAATTTAAGCATTTAGTTATTCATGTCCATATCTTATGAAAATTTAAACCACCAGGGAAAGCAAAGCTTTATCTTCTGTTAACAAAGTACCAGTTTTTTTTCAGTAAACCAAATAAAAGCTGCCAATCATTTATCAAAAAATGGTGGAGATAAACAATTCTAAGTATCTATGATAACCATGGAAAATTTTACGCTTTTTTTATTTGGCTGATTTTCTTCTAAATGAACAAAAATGAGCAGCTGTGAAACAAGGAGAGATGAAGATAAATGAAAACCAAATTACTGCTGGAGTAATCGGGTGAATGAGTGATCCAGAGGCAGGCAGAGTCTGTGAACATGAAATAGAAACAGAAAATGCTGGAAGAGAGAAATAGAAAGAGGGGAAAGTAGAGAGAGCACTATGAAGGTAGAATTTAAGCAAAAAGTGATATCTGCAGCGCCAGAGCTGCAAGGCTTAAGAAGCTTAGCCCTCCTGCCCATCACAGTAGACACCTCAATAGCAGGCATTCACTGCCACTGAGCTACTGCTCAGTGAGCAAGGTGCACATAGAGAGGAGAGATGTGGGTGGGAAGTGGTGCCCAATGCTGGTAAATCATGGTGCAGATGATGGAGTGGTGAAGGAGGGTCTCCTTTTAAACTCTTCTGTAAAGCTAAAAAGAGAGTTCTACTTTGAATTTATTGTAATTTATGTTTTAATATTTCAATAAAGCCTCAATTGAAAAGGAAGTCATATGAGACCTCAGGATGGATGGATGGATGGAAAATGTTTGCTTTGTAAATGTCTTATGTGTTGTTTTTTCATCATCTACAACAGGAAGTGTAAACCGACCGGCGCCGGTCCCTGCCTTCCTCAGGAATCCATCTGTCCTCCCACCCCCACTGGACATGAAACCCTTTCTCCAGTTTCCCCTGGAGTCTCCTCACCCGGCCAGCATCGGCCTCTTCCACAACTTTAATGCAGTGAGTTCTCTTTCAGCATCTGTGGCTTTCCTTTAAATCACAACCACTAAGGTGAGAAATGTATCATAACGTGAGGAGAATTTATAGCTGGCTGTTACTTCACACAAATCAAAACAACAATAGGGATGCTGGGTCACAAAACAGTCTTTGTGAATCCTGTAACACTATATAACCATGTAGATCAATGATTATAAACTGGACAGAAAATGATTTCAGTATTAAAGAGTGCATTTGTTTTTTTTTCCTACCTTACTAAATCACAGCCTAAATAAGCACAAACCTGCACAATGTGAAATTTATTTATGAGAGGAAAAAAGAGTCAAGTATTTATAAAAAAAACCCCAACAACATTTGGACACATTGTGAATGTGCAAAGGCCATGACTTAATTAATTTATATTTATGATATGGGCTTTTGGTCCCACTGCATTTATTTTATTAAAGGTTCAGAGCACATCAGTTCTAGACTGGATGTGACTGTGTTTTAAAGAACTTCATTTCTGACTTCAGATCTGTTTTTATAAATGCAGAATTTTTTTTTGTTTTCCTTTCTTTTGTAAAGTGGGGAGACTTCCTAGCTCATTTTGCGTACAGTGCAACAAAGGGTGGCCAGTAAAAAAAACAAACAAATATGGGACAACTAGGATGCTGATGAGAGACAGACACAGCTTTGTCAGTTGTGTGTTGCTCTTTGGACTCACTTTACAATGTTCCTTTTCAATGGTCTCTTTTCATATCTAATTCAAAAATGACTTCAGCAAACTTTACAAAAAGCTCTCTGAGAATCACCTGTTACTAGCCTCACCGAGTTATAGAGTGCTCCAGTCTTTGGTGTGGCTACATCTTGTTTTATGTATCGTAGTTTCTATAATATTTTCATTAAAAATCCTTAACTTTTTCTATTTTAAGACCAACTCCTGACCACATGGTAATGAGATGGAGCAAAGGCACAGCTCTGCTTCCTTCATATTTTTTTTTATATATTTGTAAACTGAACCAGTCAAATGTGGGACTTTGTTTTAATTTGTGAGACGGCAGGACAGAAGTGAAAAATGTTGGACTGTCCCACATAAATCAGGACATGTGGTAAAGCTTAATTCAGTACAATTCAGTTTATTAATATAGCGCAAATTCACAACACATGTAATCTCAAGGCACTTTGCAGTTTCTATCTAAGGAAAACCAATTGAACCATTGACTCGAATGCAATCCCCGACACTAAGCATGCTTGTAGCAACAGTGGAGAGGTAACATTCCCTTTTAACAGGGAGAAACCTCCAGCAGAACCAGGCTCAGTGTGAGCAGCCATCTGCTGAGGCCGACTGGGGTTCAAGGAGACAGAAGCAGAGATACAAAAAGCAGCTGTAGAAGGCGGCCGCATCCAGGAAACACACAGCCAGGAAGACGAGCTCCAAGGCCAGCTCCCATGTCAGAGGATGAAGAGAGCACAACCAGCCAGTCACAGTCAGAGAAACAGGACTACACTGAAAAATAGGCCAATCTCGAACATCTATAAACATAGGTGTTGATCAAAGCAGCTGGCCTGATATTTCTCTCCAGGATGATGTCACAGCCAAAGAGGAACAGAGGAGGCAAAGCTACTATGAGAAAAAACATACTGTAGTAGCAAGCAAGCTTAACAGGAACTGTTTTGGAAGTCAGGGTTTGGATGTGGGAATGATGCCACATCCCAATTTTAACACATGGTACATGCAGGCTGGAATTTTATTCTCTAGATTTTATATTTTAATCACAAAAATAAACTAGCCTCAGTATGCATACCTGTGATTCAGTGTGATAGAAACATCAAAAGTCCTGGCAAACAGCAGTTATCACTGTGTTTATGTATATCCATAAAGAAAATACATTGTTGTAAAGACATATTTTTTTCGTTTTTCTGAAAAAAATAACCTACGATCTCTGATTTTGCATTTATAGAACATAAAACAATTGCTAATCCATTAGTATTATAATACATAGTTTAATTAATACATGTTAAGATATGTTGTTCATAATCTGAACAAAAAGATATTGAACTACAGATGCCTGCGAATTGAACTTTGATGAGCTCCACATATAATTTTCCTTCAGACAAATTTATAACTATAAGTGAAACAAAGTACAGTAGTCCAATCTGCTTCATAGGCTGTGAACCACTTTGGCAGAATAACATACAAAACCAGCTGATTTTTTTACTAATTTCTAATCTATTAATCAACTCAATTAATAATAGCCAACTTCATTAAATTTGAGCAAAACCACAAAAACCATATAAATATGTGAAACTAAGACAGCAACAATAAAGGACAGAAATATTGATACACTCAAGTTATCAACAACTTAGCAGGAAAAAAAATATCTGGGATCCAACGGTTATAATTGAAAGACTTGCCCAGAAGTGTGTTAGCTTACCTGTGCTGGTTAATTTGTCTTTCAGAGACAAATGTCTATTTTCTATCAGCCATAATTAGACAGGTGTAAAAGATATTAATTCCTACCCATGTGGTTATTTCAGAGTGATACTTCCCGACAGTAAAATGTTCCCCTGAAAGACAGTTATTGCTTGAAACATTCCTTTGTCCCTCTGCACTTAGGTTAAAAAAAGAACACAGACAGTCCCATTTTGTCTGTTTTCTTCACTTGAGAGCAAACATCAGGATGGTAGCAGGTTTCACTGCTATGTCCATTGTTGTGTTTGTTTTATTTATACCAACATACATTTTTTCCCACTGGGATAATGAAGCCCTTCTGGTATTATGGTGCATTTCATCATCTAAAATGATGGCATGACAGCTGTTTGTTTATTCAGTGCTACCATAATTGAAAAGACTCACAGCCAAGCGGTTTGCAGCAATAAAATGAGCTACAGCTAATCAATTGAATAAGAGGCACAGCCCAAGTTCTCCATAGTCAGCATTTTCCTGTGGCTCCTTCTCAGTTCAAGATTGGGTTTCGTGTGGAGGTCAGACTGGTCACAAGCCAGGATGCATAAACACGGTGCCAGTGTTCTCATCTGCATGCAAAGCTTCATGATTCATTCATCTACAAACATTCAGTCCTATCTTATACGGCGAAGCATCTTAATTCAAACTACTCTGTTTTTGCAAAGGAAAGATTAACGCATTTCTAAAATTTTGTTGTAAGTTTAAAACGGATGGCCTCATCCATGTATGTAAATGGAATAACCACTGAGAGTTTTAACTTTAGAGGGTGCAGGAAATAAAATAAGGTTGTAAAGTACAAACTGATAAAAACAATAACTCTCAATAACATTGATTATGTTTGCAGACCTTTGTTTAAAGAAATATTTATATAAAATATGATTTATATATGTATAATGTCAAACTAAAGCACATTTATTTTTTGTATTGCATATCTTATTGTAATGTTTACACTTCTGTAAGCACCATGCACCATGTTTTGTAAATTTAAAAATAATTCAGAAAACAATTCTATAAACACATTTGTAAATAGATTAATGCTGCTTCTCTGCATTTAAATGTGTACATATTATCCATCACTGCCTGAACATCTCTGGTTGGATGTGATCTGCATTCCTTTGCTTGTATTTGTGATAGGTGCAATGATAACAAAGTTGAATCTAACATAATCTAATTGTCAGTTCCATTGACCGGTATCCCTGTTGGGACACTTGATCATGATCTCTGATAAAGTACCATCCTATTTAGTTTGCTTCAATGTTAAAGATAACCTTTGGCTGACATTAGGTAACAGGTCAGTATAACTTAACACTATATTTTACCTTTTATACAGAGAGAACCTGAACATTTTAATGTTCTTTTAAAGGGATTACCAATTTCATTCTCCAAGAATAAGTATCTTAACCTCAAGATGATGAGAGCAGTCTCTTATTTCAAGTTTACGCCATAGAAATGCATTTTTAAGATTTAACAGAGGGTGACGTTGGCACTGGAGCCACAAAAAGTGAAAAAAAGTTACTTGGTGTTCAGTTGGTGCAATGGCTATCACTGTTTTTATGGATTCATGATGGACAATCTGTAGTTCAAAACATTCTTTATATAGTTTAGTCACACATCATAATAACGATTCAACAATAAAAACAGCCTCTTTGGGATTTGTTAATCTTTTGTCATAAAATGCTGGTTACTGCTGCCATCAACATCCTTGTTAATAGATGTTGGAGCTGTTTTTCAGTGTAGTCCTGTTTCTCTGACTGTGACTGGCAGGATGTGCTCTCTTCATCCTCTGACATGGGAGCTGGCTCAGAGCTGATCTGCCTGGCAGTGTGTTTCCTGGACGGGGCCGCCTGTGGAGCTGGATGACAGCTACTTTTTGTATCCCAGCTTCTTTCTGTATGTGTGCTTCTTTCTCCTATAACCCCAGTCAGCCACAGCAGATGGCCTCTCACACTGAGCCTGGTTCTGCTGGAGGTTTCTTCCTGTTACACAGGAGTTTTTCTCTCCACTGTCACTACAAGCATGCTTGGTGTCAGGGATTGCTGAAGAGTCAAACAGCTGTTTTTTCCTTGGATTGACTTTGAACTTTGAACCAGTCTGACATATAATCATGTTAAACATTCCCTATAAAGTGCCTAAAGATGACATGTGTGAATTGGCGCTATGTTAATAAACTGAAATAAATTGAACATAAAAAGGGCATTTCCATTTACCTTTTTGTACTAAAACCACTTTAATGATATTTTTGAAGAGTATAAAACAATAGATCTTTTTTTAAAGGACCTAAAAGATAATACATCCTTCAATTCCAGTGCATTTCTCTTTGAAAGCAGCTGTTTGAGTTGTGTATGTAGGGGTTGCTAACATATCCTTTGATTGCTGCTAATGTGTTTAAGCATTGATTCTATAACTTCTTTTAATACAGTAAGGCCCTGTTTAAGAACTTTTCTGTAACTATTGGTGTAGTATAGTTTCAAAAAAGCAGACTGATTTCCGTTTGATGCATTCTTAAAAACCAAATTATTCTGAACTGGGTTCTAGGACAAAGAGGGGAGTAGAGAAAAAAGGTGAAAGTTTCGATCACCTAAAATGCAGACTGGGGATGACTAAATGTCTAAGGTAACGAAACAGTAGTATCAGTTTTAGATATAAAATTTTGAATTTATAACAATTAAGGCTTAGTGATTAAAGTAATTACAAAGAAATGAAACATTATATATGGCAAAACTCCTAGGGATACAAAAGAAAGAGAACATTGTATAGTGCAGGTGCAACAAAAGCTCCAGTGTATTAGGGACTGAAAGAGGAGACAGGGAGTAGATAAAATAAGTTAATGAGGTCGTAACAGTGGGGATAGATGAACAGATGGAGATCCTGATGAGAACAGGTGGCCAAAGAAATGCAGAAAAGAGATGCAACACTAGAAAAATCAATCAGATCGCTGACAAAATACAGAAACAGAATGTATTTTAAGCAGTCTTCACTTGATAAACATGGATGAAAACATAAATGCTGCAGCATTATCACTCAATATAGAAGGGAGCAAATCATAAGTCTTTAGCCTACATGGAAAAAACTAACTGCAAGATGGTAACTAAAAATACACACCAGTATAATTGCATCATGCCCACCATGAAAAAGAGTGGTGGCAGCATCAGGTTGTGAGGAACTCGTATTTCAGCAGGTAGAGAAAAGCCCAGTCAGTGTTACTGACAGGATGAAGGATAAATTTTAATTTGCAGCAAAATATGTGAAAAGTTTCACCTTTCAGTAAGACAGTGATACTAAGCATGTTCTATAGAACATATTTGAGTGACCCAGTCAAAGCCCAGACTTAAATCTAACTGTGAATCTACAGTAAAAATTGCTCTTTACAGATATTTACCATTCAGTCCGGCTGAGCTTAAGTTATTTAGCAAAAAATAGGCTTATGAGCCAATATTTAGAAATTATTATCATGAAGGAATGGAATGCAAATCATAACAATTGTTTGTCACAAAATATTTAGAAAAGATCCACCATTTTCTATCTATTTTATAATTACTACTACTACTATGCTACTTTTATTGAACTTTCAAAAACATCCCTTAAAGATTTTGGGATGCTTTCAGTCCATTTTTTCAATGGACTGAAGGTGTCGTTGCTCCCAAAGTTTTGGCGCAGAGCCAAACACATCTAGGTTTGTTACATGCTTTAGCATGAAAAATACTCCATAATCTGGTGAGACTACCAGCTCTATCAACTACTGTTTTTTTTAAAACACTTATGTGTCCTTTCCCCTCTGTTTGATACCAGCAATGGTGGCAATAACCATTATACTTAGCTCCTATCAGAAAACGCTTTAAGCATTGAGCAAAGGTTAGCATCATTCTAAAAAAAAAAATGCAGGTCCCTAAATGTGTTCAAGAGTTCCTGTGGCTTTCTGAAGCTTCGTGGTGTTAAAGATCTTATATAGCAACATGCTTTCAGTTGAACTGGAGATGGAAGGCTGAGTAAAACCACAGTGTACTCTTGGCTGTTTAACCAAGGCAACACCCAGCTCTGTGGTTTTCTAAACCCCACAAACAGGCCAGGGAGCCCAAACAAGTCAACTGTAACTGCCTAAAAAAGAATGGTAGGAAAACACCCTTAAATTAAAACTATAGGCCCCATGTATGTGCTTGATATGGAAATGACTGACTTAGAAGATCTAATTTGTAGTTTTAGTTCAATGTTTATAATATAGAAAATGAAAATAAAATGTGCATGTCTTTACTTTATCATTTTCTTCTTCTTTTCAAACCACTGTTGACTTGTTTATTTTTATTCATTTATTCTTTTCTAACTGTATATTTATTCTAAACCCAATGTCAAGGCTATACTCTATTTTCAATGTTGTTTAATTATATTTCACGGAACAATTTCTTTATGACTGGTAAAGTGAATTAATAAATATAAGAACTAAATATTACCAACTATGCAGTGAAGATATGCAGTCATATGCAGGTCATTTGCAGGTCATAGTAATTCCAAAAAAAAACAAACAAAAAAAAAAAACAATGGACTATGTTTTCCAAGTTTTAAGACGCTTTGCTTCCGATCCAAACAGATTTCTCAATTCAAAATGTCTGGACGTAACCTTTTTTGGAAATATAACCAAGAACTATTTGATATAGGGATCTATAATTGGCACTTTCTGTCCTTAATATTAGTTAAAGGAATTAAATTTCATCCAAGAACCATGAACCCTGCAACTGAGGCGACATATCCACTTTCAGTTCTCACACTTTTAAGCATCTCCCAGCTATCCTCCTCGTCCACTGCTTCCCATGTCACTCTCATCTATTCTCATTCAGCCAAACTTTTATATAGTTTATCAGAAGGCACACATTTCTTTTGCCGAGTTTCTTTCATGAGATTTCTGGTTTCTCTCTCATCAGATGGACCCTGTCCAGAAGGCCGTGATGACCCACACCTTCGGACCACCTATTGTGAAGACAAAGAGGCCAATTATCTCCTGCAACGTTTGTCAAATACGCTTCAATTCAGAGGTATGATAGCTTTAGCTGCTCACAGACAATCACAAAACTATGCAGACTTTTTTTTTTTTTTTTTTCAACTACAATCATCACAATAAGACCCAAACCTTTGGTGAATTTTACAAGGACTTTTTTTCTGACAGACCAAAACAGAAAACTGCCTAAAAGTTGAAAGATAATAAAAAAACATTTATTTTTTGGCAGTATAATCTGGAATAAATAGAACAACATGTAGTTGTACTCAGATTTCCTTGAACAAAACCTTTTAAAATCTATTTTTTGTTTTCAAGTCTCTGAATGATCTCGCTGGCTCATCTTTACTTAGGTTTGCATGCTCTCAGGTTGGCTAACAAGAACATTTTTGCCTGTTAAAAAGACATTTTATAATTCTAAAAGAAGCAGTGTGCCTGCTGAATTGGCTCCTAAAACGTGGACTGAGCTGTTGCTTATGGATGGGGAGGGTCTTCTAATTTTTTAAGACTTGCCACATCACATGTACTTGATACAGTGTTGGCACATTATTCTTTGATCTAACCCGGTTTGTTGTAGCCCTTACTGTGTGATCATGTTTTTTTAATATACTGACAAGAGAACACCTTGGTAGCAGATATTTATGCAAGCTTCACAAAACTGAAAAAACTAATAAACAATATAAATAAAATAATTTATGATGCTGCCACCACAACGTTCTACCTCATGAATACATGATACTGTGTAATATAGATGATATTTTGTGTTTAGCCCACAAAGCCTAATTTTGGTTTTATCTGACCTAAACACTGTCTTCCACATGTTTGTTTGTCCTCTAGAGCAGGAATCCCCAACTTCGGTCCTTAAGGCCCGCTGTCCTGCAGGTTTTAGAGGTTTCCTTGCTCCAGCACAACTGATTTTAATTGAAAGCTAATTAACAGGCTTTTGGTCTACTGCAATCATTATAATCAGCTGTGCTAAAGCAGGGAAACCTCTAAAACCTGCAGGACCGCGGGCCTCAAGGACCAAGGTTGGGGATGCCTGCTCTAGAGTGATGTGGTAAATTGTGAAACCTTGAGGTAAAAGCTTAAAGGTACAGTTGAGGATTTTTGCATTTTTAAAAAAGACCCGCCCTCTCACTTAAAAAAAAAAAGCACATAACCCTGTACCCGCTCTTGAGAGGAAATGCCTATTAAACGTGTGCAAGAGCATGCAAGAGTGCATTTCTCCTCGGGCAAACTCTGTTTAAAAGTTGCTGTTTGCATTGATCATACAAGCTTACTTTCCAAAAGAAGATTTGCAATTTACCACAATGTTAGACTCACCACCAGTAAGTGAAAATGGGGACGAGCACATAGGACGGCCTTATGTAAACATATCACCAGAATGATTGACAATTAGGAGGAGCACTTATTTTGATGATCCACTCAGAAAAAGCACATCATTCCACTATACCTTTAATTTAAAATTCATTTAAGAAGAATTTTCCCATATGAAACAACAATATAAAAATATGGATAGTTAAGATGTCAAAACCGTTTGATGATCTCTTTTCTAGATGTAACACATCCCTTGTGTACTCTTCTGACAATGTGCAGAGGATGATCCAAGGTGCATAAGCCATGGGAAGACATTTTTTAAAAGGGGAGCTACAAAGAGAATATTTGTGAATTGACCCACAGGTGGCGTATAAGGAATGCCATAAAAATGTTGGCTTTCATGTAGACCTTTTTTCAAAGCTCTGCTGCACTAGAGCTTTGCTGATTTGAATCTTGACCTAAAGAGTAGATTCTCTAGATCGTTGACTGACAGCACAGCTGAGAAATGGAAAGTCTTTCTCAGCTCTAATTTTAGGTTGTTGTGACAGGGCAGGTATACGGGTAGAAATTCCTGCTTCCTTAACTTACACTGCTGTGTCTCGTGGAACTTTTTCTTTGACTGACCAGTGTTATCAGATTGTATTTTTTATTTACGTTGAGTGTAAAAACTTTATATATCAAGACAGGTAAAAAAATGAATTGGTAATGTATCCATAGTTTATCCGATCAGGTTGCACTTCATGTCAGGAAAAAGTTTATTTGCAGATCTTTGAATATGAATTGCTTTCGATGGACTGTAGATTTATGAGCCTTGGTTAGCAGCAGGGGTAAGAGCCACAGCTTGTCCGCTCAGTCACCCCGGTGCTGATCAAGCATGTTCCCTGCCTTTCACATTTGACAGGCAGAGGCTTTGCTAACATGGGGCAGAGAGTATGAAACTGAAGAGGCCTGAAGACATGAAACATTAGATGAATTATTTGTGTGTCCCCATTAAGGAGACAGCAGTGTTAACTGAAGAGCAAAAGCAAACAACTCATATTGCAAAGTTCCAAAAACCGCTGGTTAAAATGAGTGACATGAGCTGAGTTTGCTGTCGGGTTCCTAATTGGAGCGATGTTAGCGATCACATGTAAAAACGGAAAGTAAAAAGTTCTAAACTGCTTTTCATTACATTAATAAAAACTTGTTTTGGTCATAAATGTGTTGACTAACAAAGCATGTCTACTTAAAGCTACAGTGTGTAATTTTCAGCGACATCTAGCGGTCAGACTACAGACCGCAGCAACATGAACATCTCCCCCCCACCGCTTCTCCCCCCCAACAGTACGGCGAGCGTTACGGGACAAAATTTCTTCTACGACGTCCACATCACCTACCCTCTCAAGTGATGAGGTTTGTTTACATAGATAATTTTACAGATAGTATTTCATTAGTCTGTGTAGGGTATAGATTTCATGTAGACTTAAGATAATAAATATACCCGTTATTTTTTCTACATCGTTGTGACGTTTTGGTGAGCTGCTTTGCATGGTGATATAAACAGACGAAGTAATTGTAGTCATTAGTTTAACAGCGAGATTGTGTTCGCTGGAAGAATATATATCCCCCGTTTACAGAGTCCAAGTCATTTTGGTGGCACGGGGGTTACAACGCGAGGGAGAGGGAGAGGACGAGGGCGAAGGCAGGGAGGCCGTGCAGCTAGGGCCAGGCGAGAGAGGGGAGCCAGCGGGGTGAGAGCAGAGGAGGAAAGGCTTGAAGATCTCCAAAGGAGCCGGAGAGAAGTAACCGAGGTATATATCCAGAAAATTATTTTACAGAAAATTACTGAATCATTACCTGTGAAACGTCAGGGACGTTGCTGAATAAGTATACTGGAGAGTAACAGCATCATCACGCAGCATGTTATTGTTTTAGACAGGTCTGAGCATCCTGTACTCCAAAAACTGCAGTGATATTAGGCAATTGTGTGTGTAGGATTAATTACCTGTCCAAGAGAAAACTGGCAACTTGAGCGTCACTTTGAAAACCTTTTTCCTCCATCAGTGACTTCCATCGTGTAAATGCCGTGCCAATGTTGATCCGTGTTTTTTGCCGTTTCTTGTCACGCTTGCGTTTATTCTCGTCGTGTTTCCGCTTCTTAGATGACGGGGGTTCGGTGTCCGCCGCTTTTCGTTGTGATACAGAGTAGGCATGATCCTCCATTCGTCTGATGTTTGGCCACACAGTGCCAAACAGTTTGCAAAGTCACTCACGCCTGCCGCCTTGTTCACCTTTCTTGTTACTGAGGCGCAGTATACCTGCTTCTTCTTCTTCTTTGGTTTCAGGCAGACTAAACGCTTCTCAGGCATAATACTGCCATCTACTGTTCAGTACCGTCTCAGTTAATCTCTCTCAACTTGCCGTAGTTATTTTTGAGCGTCATGGGAGATCTCGCAATCGCTAGTTTGTTGCCTCTGCGCTTGCCGTAGCGCAAAGATGTCAGCCTCCATGGCTGCGAGACCCGCTCCTATGTAATTATAAATAACGAATTCTAAGGCAACGCAAATATTATGGTTAAAAGGCTGAGCTCATAGGTGATGATAAATAACATAGTTATGTATAATATATTAAATTTCTGACTTTATATGCCTGTAATTATTACACACTGTAGCAGTGTTTAAGGTTTATATATTTAAAGGTAAAGGCAGCAGAAATTTTAACTACAGTAACTTATTTGGGTTTTTCATTTAGATATAATTTTTAAAAATGTCATACAGTAGAGGTTTATAAGAAAATTGTTTCCTAACCAGTTAAGTCAAACAGAGAACCCATTAATTCAGCATAACATGGTGTTACACCTTAAAAGGTTTATTAAAAAATGTGAATGTGAGCGAACTGGAAATGTGCTGCTGATAAGTTGAACAAACTGATGGCCCTAAAAGCAAATACAGTGCAAACAAACATGATGATAAAGCAAGTCACTGAAGTGCTGCATATAATGTTTGCAGCTAAAGCAAATTTTCAGCTCCTGTGCTCAGTTGCACTTTTATATTAGATAGAATTTACAAAATATACTTCTTCAAATTAGAAGAATAAAAACATCAAATTGTAAAATATGCATCTCATACACAATGCTTACTTATAATATTTAAAAATAAGTACAGCTTTGGTATCCAGTTTTTAACTGGTAGTGGAGATTTTAAAATCAACTACTGTCTTGATGTCAGTTGTTAACGGGTTTCAGACCTTCAGTTTCAGTTTATTTATATAGCGCCAAGTCACAACGCATGCCATCTTAAGGAACTTTACAATTAAACCAGATCATATAGTCATATTGATTATAATTATTATTATTATTAAGTAGAGAATTAACTGAGAAGGCTGTTAGGTTCAAAGATGTAGGTTTGTAAAAGAAGGACTGAATACACAGTAAGGGATTTTCAACAACAGCTTCTGCAGGAGCGGAAAGAGCCCAAACTAACTTCCAGCTCTTTTTTTGACTCCCCTCCTGCAGCCATCTTTTATTAACAGAACATAACACATGGTTGCAAAACAGTTTTGTTCTGACAGAACAATTGATCAGTTCATAAGACGTGAGGCTCCACCACCTGAATCACAAGGCAGGGTGGTCTCCTGACTGAATCACAAGACAGAGTGGAGCATCTCCTTGCTTCAACGCTTATATGTACATACATTCATTTTATAATCATCATTGAATAAACCTAACAAAGGCAATTTCTCATA